TGACATAATATTGTATTAAACTTTCCTTTAGTAATATCGGTCAGTTTTGAAGTTATATTTTTGTCTGCTTCAAGAACTTTCACCATTTCAGTTATACCAACTTTCTTTGCTTTATGAAAATATTTTGGTTCAGCAAATATTGCTATTCTATAACATTTTCCATTGTTTGTGTAAAGAACTATTCTGTCAATGTATTTGTATTGTTTGTGAGTATAAACCTTGTTTTGCTTCAATTCAATAAGATATCCGAATACGTCCATCTTTTTATTCTAAGTAAAATGTCATTTCCGAAAAATAGAAGCGTAAGTGTTTCAAAAGGTTTAATGGCGGTGGCAGATGTGAAGTTAAATTCACCAACTCAAACAAACAGTCAAAGTGTTATTGTCAATGTCAAAGACAGAGATGTTGAAGTGGGGAAACCATACGAAGACGAAGATGGTATAACAATTGTTCCTGTAAAAGAACCAACATACCCTGAAGTTAGCAGAGACTTAAGTTCTGTTGCAGATATTCGAAATGACTACCAACAACTGAAAGACAAACTTCAAACTCAGGAGAAGATTTGTCAAGCTTTAAGTATATGTTAAACTTGGTCGAACACAACCCTGTAAAAGTGAACTCATATGTCATTGCACCTCATGAAGTTTTGAAAGAACTATTGAAACTTTTGACAGAGGCAGACGATATAAACATCAAAGAAATAGAACCCGACATTAGTTGCTGTGGTGTTTCATATAATGTCATTGACAAGATATACGTTATGAAGGAGGTGAAACGTTGAACTTAAAGTATAGTTTCCCAGACGTTATATAAAATATTTGACGACCACAACATTTCATTAAAGTTTTTTTGCTAAGTAAAAATGTCAAAACTTCTTGAAAGATGTTGAAGAAAAATAATATAGACTTTATTTCATGTAAAGGACTTTACACACTTTGAACGATATGAAAGACCCTGTTTTGTTTGTTCGTGTAGACAAAGGAAAGTTCTATGTCTTTACAAAATATTTGAACTTCTTAGACAGAGAACTTCAAGAAACGCCATGTGAAAGTTTAGATGAAGTTCTTCTCCACTTTCAGAAAAACTTTTAAATATATATAAATGGCAGAAGACATAATGGTTTATACTTTACGACTAAAAACCCTGAGTCATAGTAATTCTATAACAACAAACTTACAAAGTCCTCAAGGGCGATATTGTAAACTAACCTTAAACACAATGACGACTAAAGCCTGTTTTGCTCTTTTGACACCAGAAGACTTTATTGTTGTGAATGGTAAAAAATACTCCTTTGAAGATACTTACTCAGATATACCACCAACAGGTTTTGTTGACTTATTTAATACTTTTAAGTACGGGTGTAACATGTGCTGCAACTAGAGCAGGTTTCATTATGTTTGGATGTCCGACTGAGTTTACTATTAATGATATGAGCTATAATACAAAACTTATTTCTGGTTTTTTACTACCAACAGTTTCCTATAACAGGAAAAGGTGTCATACAAGGAATGTCTATTCCATTGACATTAAGCACACCAATCTTATATATTGTTTCAAACTTAGGTTCAAAGTGTTATTCGAATGTCGACAGAAACTATTATGACCAAAAGATACTTATGCGTATAAACAATACTTTCTCTGCTGGTTTGCCTATTGTTCATTCGAATGCAGAATTTTCAACCTTAGTGAACTCAAACACTTTGGCAAGTATAAACGTTGACATTAGTTGACGCAAAACTTTGTTCCTGTAAAACTTTATGTCCTATGTATTTGTCAATGACGGCAGAAAGTTTCGAATTGGAAGATGCAACTGGTGAAAGTATTGTATTACAAGAACAACTTCAACAACAAATAGCTCAAGAACAACAAATGCAACAAATGGAACAACAAAGTCAAGAATAAAAAAAATATTATTTTTTTTATTTTTATAAAAATGTACAGAATAGATGTTTCAGATTTTTATGACTTCAAGCATTCAGAAATATGTGTCCATTTAGAGACTATAACAAAGCAGTCGAGAATTTGAAACGTTTAGTCATTTATGTTGACTCTGCCCAGAATGTTATGTCATGAAAGAATGGGATGTTGTCTTTAACAAACCAAGAGCAACAATAGTTTCAGAACAAGAATGTAGACAGAAACTTAAGAAAAAAAAGTCGTACAAGTTGGCATGAAGATGTTAGATGCTTGGGATATCTTATTGTCAAAGTTAGAAGATTTTTCAGTTCGAGGTATAAAGTTTTATACACCTTCTCCAAACTTCTATTCTATCTTCACTGGATATAAATATGAACAAGTAGAATGGAAAACAGTATTATAGAAGCTTGGTTAGACCATGTCAAAGAAATTATATGCAATGGAAACGAAAAGGTTTATGAGTATATCTTATGTTGGTTTGCAAACATCTTACAACATCCAAGTGCTAAAATGAAACTGCTCTCATTATAATTGGAAAACAAGGAACAGGTAAGAATACTTTCTTTACAGATATTTTGTGCAAACTGTTAGAAGGTTATTCGAATCCGAATATGACAAACTTAGAAAACATCTGTGGCAAGTTTAACTCCTCAATAGAGAATATGAAACTTATAGTTTGCAATGAACTTCAAAGTATAGATACAACAAAAGTTTTGAACTCAGATGCTTTGAAGAGTCTTATAACAGACAAGTTGGAGTTGTTGAAAGAAAGTATAAAGACCAAAGAGTTTGTGAAAATGTTGCAAACTTCATTATGGTTTCAAACAATGTTGTTCCGATGAAGTTAGAAAGTTCTGACAGAAGATATGTAGTTGTCAGAACGTCAGATTCTCATATGCAAGATACAGAATATTTTGACGACTTAGCAGAAACTTTGACATCTGACTTTTACAACCACTTGTTCTCATATTTCATGACATTAGATATTTCTAAGTTCAATCCAAGACAAATTCCACATACCGAAGAGAGACAAACATTGTTAGAAGCAAACAAGAGTGTATATGAACTGTTCATAGATGAAACTGACTTTGTGTCATTAGATGAAAGGTCTTTATATGATTCGTATAAACAATATTGTCAAGAATATGGTTATATGACAGCTTCTAAACGAACATTCTTGGCAAATGTCAAAAGTCTTTTAGACGTACAGAATGGTGTATATACAAAGAAAAATTTTTCTGAGTAAATTTTAAAAAAATATTTTTTTATCCGATAGAAAAGATGACGAAATTCATCTCAGTAAACAAGTACATGTCAGGACTTAAAGAAGAACTAGACCCATTCACATATTTGAATGTTTACTTCTACCATTTTGAAAAGTCTTCATTCACCAAAGTTTGGAACATCGAACCAGTTAAGTTTGCTATTGTGACTAAAAATGGTGCGAAATTTGAAGACTTAGACATAGAAGGTTTGTTAACAGTCAAAGAAAGTTTTGACAGAAGGTTCTCAAACCTTAAAGAAGGCAAAGCATACAAACTTGTTATACCTTATGAACCAAAGAAGACAGACGACTATGAATATTATGAGTCTAAAGTTGTAGAAGTTCAAGGTAAATTGGGTAAAAAGATTTTAGAGTCTAAGCCAGTGTTTGCTCCTAAAGAGGAAGAGAACATTGACATTGACCCAGAAATGTTCTAAAAATAAAATTTTATTTTTACATGTCAAGTTTCTTCTTCGGTGGAATTGGCTCTGGTTCTTTCTTCTCTTCTTCTACTTTCTTTTCTCTCTTCTTCTTTTCTGGTGGAGTTATGTCAAATTTGGCGCAACCATATTTATGTAAAAGTTCTTTGTCCTTTAATAGCTCATCTATTCTGTTTTCTATTTCATCTTCAAGAACAGCGCATGTGTCTTCTTTGCATTCTAAGAACTTTTGTTGGACTTCATCTTTCCAATCGGCGTCATCTCTGTCAACAAGTCTGTCATTGACAAATTTTAAGACTGCTCTGCTTAATGTTTTATGGTTCTTGTCATATTCCCAGAAACAGAACTTTAGAACAAATTCACCTTTCATGTTTACACTATGTAAGATTTTATGGTCGACAGATGTTTTGCTGTCGAAAAGCTTGTCTCGAATATAGATAGCGAAATCGCTAGACATTTTCTAAAAGATAAAAATTTTAATTTTTCTAAAAATATGTTAGAAAAAAAGTTTGCTGACATTGACAAGAAATTTGAGAATGTTTTAAACAAGAACAAGAGGAAGTTAGAAAATGCTCAGATAAAGCCTATACATGACAAGTTCTTATTTGCTCAGAATGGTATAACAGGTCTAATTGCACCACCTGGGTCTGGTAAGACTTTCACTTATCTTAAAATGGCTGCACAACAACAAGAACTAGATGAGAAGAACCCATTCTATGAGTTAGTTGTTATTTGTAGTACTTCTGGTCAATTTGACCAAACCGTCAATTCGTTCAAAGATATTATAAAGAAGTCAAAGTTAGTATGTATAAAGGATACTGAGTTGTTAGATTGGATAAAGAAGTACCAAAGAAGAGTTTTGAAGTATAATGCTATAAATGAGTATATAAATTCTAAGTTTAAAGACCCAAATGAGGAAATGCAGAGAATATTAGAGAAGAAACACTTCAGAAACAAACAGAAAGAGATAGAATACATTTCGAAAAATTGCAATCTTACGATTGGAAGACTTACCCTCATAGATGTCTTCTTATCTTAGATGATTTCGCCTCTCATCCTTTGTTAAAGAATAGAGAACAAGATATGTGTCGAATTCTTAAGAAGCTCAGACACTTTAACATCTCAGTTGTCATTTGTGTACAGACAGCAAAGAGTTTAAGTAAGGATGTTAAAAGAATACTTACTGACATAATACTTTTCCCCGGATTGTCCGAAGACGATTTCATGGAACTTATGAAAGAGTCCATGGCAGGTAAGTTTGACAGACATGAACTATGGAGAAGTACAAAGTCATACAAGACCCTCATACTTCTTTCAGAATTCATATCTACGCAAACAAAGTTCAAATTGTAAAAAGTCAATAAAAATAAATGGTTCATCTACCCTACTTGTTTGAAGTTGTCAAAATACTCTGTTATTTTTTCTTTCAGTAGCGGTAAGTCTTCTTTGAAGGTAAGTATTGTACAACCTTTCATATCATAGTGTGTTTGAGGTAACGTATCTTGAACTATTTGTTTCACATCTTCATTTGGGGTCATTGAAATCGGTAAGTTTTCGCGATAGAACCAATTTCTGTCAGATTTGTAAATCTTAGCAAGGTCGTAAAAGCTTTTGTTGTTTCTTCTGACTAAATGCAACATAACCATATCTTTATCTTCTTCATTTTCCAACTCTTCAGTATAAATCATATACTTATAGTTCTTTTCCTTTCCTTTTGGTACCGAACGTGGTATTCTTTTCTGAATGCTTTTGTCTTTTGCTTCAAGCTTGTTTTCCATCTCTTCACGTTCTTGTCTATGAATTTCGTCAAGAAGTCTGTAAATATACCAAGCATAACGAGGCGAAGCCCACATTGCAACAGCATTTACAAGAAGTCTATGTACATAATATCCTCTCAAACCATTTGGCAATTTTTCACGATTTTCATAGAGTTTTGGCGACTGGGGTTTTTTACTTACTCGCTGTTCTTCACTGTTTTCAGAAAAAAGTATGTCTCGCTGTGCTTCGCTCAAAAGTTCTTGTGTGCTTTGGTTCCTAAACCAGTCTTGTGGTTTCTTAGTATCTGGAGCAAAACATGCTGTCAAAATACTTTGCATTTGGTACATATCGTCTTTGACCGAACAAATGAGACGGAGTTGTTTGTTAAACTGAACCCACTCATATTCTTCATTTATAGCTTCATGAACTATAACTGTTGTTGTGTTCTCTGTTGTTGACATATCTGTCTTTACATACAAAATAAAAAAATAAATAAAAATAAAACTAACTTTATTTTTTCTATCTTAAGGAAATTCATGAAATTTGGTCATTTTTCAATAAAAATATATTTTATGTGAAGCCCACATTGCTACAGCATTTACAAGAAGTCTATGTACATAATATCCTCTCAAACCATTTGGCAATTTTTCACGATTTTCATACGGAATCTCTTCTCTCGGTTTTCCGAGGGAAGCAAGCATATGAGGAAATTCATGAAATTTGGTCATTTTTCATCAAAAATAATGTTTAGGTGAAGAGGTGAGATTTCACCTGTTTTTTCACCTAATTTTTCACCTCAGTTATTTTATAAGCGTTTTACATGGTAAACGTTATTTTTACATTATGACACGAAGTGAAGATTTGCACTTCGTCAAATTTTATAAAAAATTAGCGTTATTTTTACATTATGACACGAAGTGAAGATTTGCACTTCGTCAAATTTTATAAAAAATTAGCGTTATTTTTACATTATGACACGAAGTGAAGATTTGCACTTCGTCAAATTTTATAAAAAATTAGCGTTATTTTTACATTATGACACGAAGTGAAGATTTGCACTTCGTCAAATTTTATAAAAAATTAGCGTTATTTTTACATTATGACACGAAGTGAAGATTTGCACTTCGTCAAATTTTATAAAAAATTAGCGTTATTTTTACATTATGACACGAAGTGAAGATTTGCACTTCGTCAAATTTTATAAAAAATTAGCGTTATTTTTACATTATGACACGAAGTGAAGATTTGCACTTCGTCAAATTTTATAAAAAATTAGCGTTATTTTTACATTATGACACGAAGTGAAGATTTGCACTTCGTCAAATTTTATAAAAAATTAGCGTTATTTTTACATTATGACACGAAGTGAAGATTTGCACTTCGTCAAATTTTATAAAAAATTAGCGTTATTTTTGGAATTTTGTGAAAACTCAACGGTTTGACACATGCCATATGCCATTTTACTCAGAATTTTGTGCTGAATTCAGCAAAAATAATGTTTATGTTAGCATGTTAGATCTAACACGTTTTCTAACCTCTTTTCTAACATGGTCCAAAACACACAAAACTCATGAATTCTCGTGAATTTCCTTAAGATAGAAAAAATAATGTTTATGTTAACATGTTAGATCTAACACGTTTTCTAACCTCTTTTCTAACATGGTCCAAAACACACAAAACTCATGAATTCTCGTGAATTTCCTTAAGATAGAAAAAATAATGTTTATGTTAACATGTTAGATCTAACACGTTTTCTAATCTCTTTTCTAACATGGTCCAAAACACACAAAACTCATGAATTCTCGTGAATTTCCTTAAGATAGAAAAAATAATGTTTATGTTAACATGTTAGATCTAACACGTTTTCTAACCTCTTTTCTAACATAACTATTTACAAGCGTTTTACATGGTATATGTTGCGATGGTTCATGACTTTAAACAGTTTTGTAGCTTCTATTTCTTCTTTTAGTACATCGAATGTTTTAACTATGCCGAAGGTTTCTTTATACTTCTTCTTGACGTCAGATAATAGGAAATCGTCAGCAGTTGGATAGTTTTTGTTCAGAAATGCTAACATGTCCATTTTATCTTCTGCTGGCTTTTCTGCTTCTTTCTTTAAGTCTGCATAGTCGTTTCTCATTCTTTCTATCTCTTTGACTGAGTAGTTATATTTCCTAATTGCTGCCTTACATTTTGAACATTGCGGGTTCATTTTTGCGTTATACATTGAAATAAAACCAGCTAAAACAACTAAAGCGTCAATTGCTCTCTTCATCTCAAACATAGCGGGTCTTATTTGTTTGTTCCATACTTTGCCTCTTCTATCTTTATCTCTTATTTCCCAAACACATTCAGCAACTAACGAAACAAAGTTGTCGTAGGTCTTAAATTCTTCAGATTTATATATGTCAGAAACATTCTTATATACCATATCGCAATCTTTGTCCATAACCTTATGGTTGCAATGAAAACCAAGGAATTCATAATTTACTTTACGTATGAATTTCTTAATTTCTACTGAGTCAGTTGGTTTCACTTCAATTTCGTCGAATTCAGGAATAGTGAGTTTTTGTTGTTGGATTTCAGGTAGTTTAGGCAAATGGTCAATAATGTCCTGCATTTCATAAAGATATTCTTCATTTGTTTCATCTTTCGCACTACAGTCTAAATTACTTGTTAAAAGTTCTTGCTTTATCTTCTGGATTTCTGTTTCAAAAGTATATGAAGAAGGAATGAAGCTTTTCATTTCTACTAGCATAGATGTTGGATTCATGACTAACGAGTTTGGTGCTGTTGTTGCTAACATGTTCTTACAATAAAAATAAAAAATATTTTTTAAAAAAAACTAACTTTATTTTTTCTATCTTAAGGAAATTCTGTATAAAATTCTTGAGTTTTGTGTGTTTTTTACGATGTTAGAAAAAATGTTAGAAAACGTGTTAGATCTAACATGCTAACATAAACTTTATTTTTGCTGAATTCATGAGTTTTGGTTGAAAGAATACGGTGGAGCCAAAAGTGGCTCGACCTCAAAACAAGCATTTTGTGAAGAATATAGCAACAGTCCGAATTCCGGCGGTTGCTTTTTATACAAAATTCAAGAGGGTAGAAATGAGGTTAGAAATGAGGTTAGATCTAACCATCTACCCGACATTCTCGTCAAATACAAAAAAATGAAGAATAACTTTCACTTTTTCATTATATAACTGTTATTTTTGACGAAGTGAAGATTGACACTTCGTCAAAAAAATCCCTGAAATCATATCTTTTATACAAAATAAAAAAATAAATAAAAATAAAACTAACTTTATTTTTTCTATCTTAAGGAAATTCATGAAAATTCAAGAGGGTAGAAATGAGGTTAGATCTAACCATCTACCCGACATTCTCGTCAAATACAAAAAAATGAAGAATAACTTTCACTTTTTCATTATATAACTGTTATTTTTGACGAAGTGAAGATTGACACTTCGTCAAAAAAATCCCTGAAATCATATCTTTTATACAAAATAAAAAAATAAATAAAAATAAAACTAACTTTATTTTTTCTATCTTAAGGAAATTCATGAAAATTCAAGAGGGTAGAAATGAGGTTAGATCTAACCATCTACCCGACATTCTCGTCAAATACAAAAAAATGAAGAATAACTTTCACTTTTTCATTATATAACTGTTATTTTTGACGAAGTGAAGATTGACACTTCGTCAAAAAAATCCCTGAAATCATATCTTTTATACAAAATAAAAAAATAAATAAAAATAAAACTAACTTTATTTTTTCTATCTTAAGGAAATTCATGAAAATTCAAGAGGGTAGAAATGAGGTTAGAAATGAGGTTAGATCTAACCTCTTCACCTAAATTATATTTTTGGTGTAAATTTCATTGACTGACTGACTGACTGACGGCACAAAGTGGCTTAGCGAAAACATTAATATATAAAATTCATGAAAATTCAAGAGGTTAGAAATGAGGTTAGAAATGAGGTTAGATCTAACCTCTTCACCTAAATTATATTTTTGGTCCGGGAACAACTTTCTCTCAATTGGAGCTGTAGCATACTCTTTGCGTAAGCGGTTCAGACCTTCTTCGAAGTCTTGGTCTCTCTTGGACTGAGATTGGAATTGCTGGGGTGGAGCTTGCTGGAACATCCAAGGGTTGGGGAAGTAAGGCATAGGCTGAGGAGGGTAGTTCGGGAAGCCTTGTGGTGGGTAGTAACCTTGAGGTGGAAATTGGTAGTAATTCGGAGGTACTTGCTGGAACTGAGGTTGCTGAGGAGACTGTTGTGGTTCTTTAGGTTCCTCTGGTTTGGGAATGGACTGGGTTATAGATCCAAGGTGATGTGATTTTTGCATCCCTGGGATGGACGATACACCCAAAGTGTCACCTTTTTGGGATAACATGAATTTTAAATATCATGAGAGTTCTGCAAACCATATGCACAATATCTATTCAGCCTGACTTCTTGTATATATGAGTTAGACTTCTTAAATATTGTGCTTGGGGCGATATAAGCATTTCCGAGATTACCATCGTGCTCTATAGTATGCTACTTCTCCCTGGTTCTAGCTCAGTTCCAAGGATATTGGCGTTCAAGGATTTGGCAAGGTCCTTCCGAAGTCTCTCATTCGATGAGAGATTTCGGAAGAATCTTGCCTTAAAGTACTCCAACTCTTGTTCTTTTGTTCCTAAATAGTGAGAAAAGTTATTTGACTACATAAGGTAGAGATTATCCGAGGTCCCTCATTTGATGAGAGGCCTCGGATAATCTCTGCCTTAAAATTGTACACTTGTAGTCCATGAGAGTGTAAGTATACATTGATAGGACAGCTTTCTTCTGAAGTCTTAGATTTGATGAGAACCTCAGAAGAAAACTGTCCTATTTTATAGTAAAAGGAGTTTCAGGAGCTCCAAAGCTCCCTTTCGTAAGGATTAGGAGCTTTGGAGCTCCTGGTTCGTAGATGTGTTTCGCATCTTTCATCAGCAAAGGACATTTACCATCTGGGACTCTGTTGATGGAGACTCAGGAGCTCCAAAGCTCCCTTTAGTAAGGATTAGAAGTTTTGAAGCTCCTGGTTCGTAGACGTGTTTCGCATCTTTCATCAGAAGAGGCCCAAATGCTAAATAGCCTCTGCTGATGAGCTTCAGGAGCTCCAAGGCTCCCTCTCGTAACGATTAGGAGCTTTGTAGCTCCTGAAGGTAAGGTAGGATTGCTCTGATCTCTAATCAGTAGATGCCATGCCTCATTATGAACTCTACTGACAAGAGATCAAGAGCTCCAAGGACTCCCTTTTTAGTTAGTGGCGTTCTCACCATTTAGTAGGATTGCTGATCCTACTAATGAAGTGATCACTTAGTATACGTTTTGAATAAATTGAATTTTTTTTAGAATTTAGTATTTTTTATAGACATCATATGTATATTATAAATACATAAATATATTCTTTAATTCAAAAAATTCAATTCGGTTTTGGGATGGGTATCCCAGCCCCAAGTATTCAATTTTATTCAATTTTTAAAGAATTTTGGGTTGGGATGCCCAGACCAAAACAAGCTTTATATTTTGATGTGTAGATACGTATGTGTGCATCATTGTTGTGTTATATATTATGTTTTTAATGAAAAAAAAATCTGATTCAAAAAAAATTATCACTAATTAGTTGATAATATAAAGAAAAAATAGATAAATTGTATGTTTTGAGAGTATTTATCCACATTCACTCATATGAATTTCATTAAATAGTGTCTTTTTAGTCCCAAATTTATTTTGAATTATTGAAATCAAAGAAAAAAAAATCAGAAAAATTTCTCGAAATTTTTATTTTCAAAAAAAATTTGGATTTTATATTGAAAACTGACACTGGGAGGACGATAGGGCTGGGATTGGAGATACCCCGCTCACTTGGGAAAAATACGGATCTATAGACTGGGTTGGTGGGACGTGGGACATTCGTTTGTGGCTTAACCGTCGGACCACAACGATAAAAATCTCTGCTACTAGCAGTACTGCTACTGACAGTAGCAGTACTTTTACTGACAGTAGCAGTACTTTTTCTGACAGTAGCAGTACTTTTACTGACAGTAGCAGTACTTTTTCTGACAGTAGCAGTACTTTTTCTGACAGTAGCAGTACTTTTACTGACAGTAGCAGTACTTTTACTGACAGTAGCAGTACTTTATCGTCGAAAACCCTCTCAAATTTTCCTTTTTACTGACAGTAGCAGTACTTTTACTGACAGTAGCAGTACTTTTACTGACAGTAGCAGTACTTTTACTGACAGTAGCAGTACTTTTACTGACAGTAGCAGTACTTTTACTGACAGTAGCAGTACTTTTACTGACAGTAGCAGTACTTTTACTGACAGTAGCAATGGTCGAGGTCGAACCTACCGACGAGGCAATTTACCTAATTGAAATTAACGAGCTTGTTAAAGACTTCCTCAGGCAGAATGTAAAAGGCAAGCTTGTTAACGGTTGGATAACGGGAAGGGCTGCCTTGAATCTCGAGACTTCGACTGGAATTCCAATTGAGGTACCAGACGGGACAGCCTACGACGACATAAAGCAAGCAAAGAAGGAAGCCATTATAAAGTTCTTTGCCAAGCGTCCTTGGATACTACTTCCAAACAGAGAGAACCCTTTCCCAAGAATTCCCACATTTAAATTCAAATTCGAATAAAAATTTTTTACTTCATGCAATGTTTTATTTCTGTGCCGTCTTCAAGTATGCCCCAATATTTCCTTTTCGATATTACATGAACTTCGGTGAAAATTTTGTCCAATTTGAATCGACCCATCTTCTCACCGACCATGCCCATTTCAATGAGTTTGTTATAGCCTTCTTCGTTCGTCATGAGTGCGTCAATGTTCTCATAGTAAACCTTGACTTTCGATTTGACTTCGGAGAAGAATTTGTTGTACTCGTCAAGGACTGCTTTTGCGAACTGAGGGTAAGACCAATGTTCGACAATAGGTTTTAATGTGGTTACTAAGCCACTTTGACCTTGAGTGAATTCGTACTTCAAAACAAAAGGAGAAAACCTTTCAACAAAGTTGTCGACCTTCTCATAATGTTTACTCTTCATCTCTTGAGGTTTCTTAATGGAATATCCCCATGTCGAATTCATAAGCAATTTGAGTGTCATTGCAAGTTTGGGGTTTGAAGCTTTCCTAATATCATACAGTTGTTGTATGACTTTTCCAACTGTATAGTTCCTTCCCGGGAACT